GACGACGTACGCGACGACGACGACGACGACGACGCGGGAGGAGGGAGGACGGCGACGACGGCGACGACGACGACGCAAGATCGCGCGCACGCTTTTGTTGAAATTCAGTGTTGCGAAACCTTGTGTTTTCTGTAGGTTTTTTGGACACACGATTTTGAAATCCTTCCGAAACCGATGGGTTTTGAAGGATTTCGGCATACGCGCGCGACGACGCGCGCGTCTCTTTTCCGTCAAATTTTTTGCAGAGGGTTCTCGCGACGGCACACGCGCAAGGGCGTTCGACAGATTTCGACATGCACGCGCAAATCCCGTGTGGTAGCATGTTGCGAAAATCTTGAAAGACCCATGGTTTTCTTAAGATTTCGCAAGAGCTTGCGCGTAAGCTTTTTTAGCAAGTCAGTGTTGCGAAACCATGTGTTTTGGTATGTTTGTTGGAAACTCGATTGCGTAATCCTTCCGACACGGAAGGTTTTTAAAGGATTCCGGCATGCGCGCGCGACGACGCGCGCGCGTGCACTTCGTCCCATCTGTTTCAAGGGATTTGCGAAAAAAGTCTTATGTTAGAACCAAAAGTGTCCCCGCGTATCGTTTTTTTACAAGGGAACCTCCGGGGGGCCGACGCCGGCCCCTCTGGGACTGTTTAAGTTCATATTTAGGATGGACATGTGGTCAGAAGCATATATCGTTTACATACCCGAAAGGGGGACCGATAACGCCGGGGGGGGGTAGAGTCTATTCTCTGAAAGAAGAAGAATTCACCAATGTTCAACTTCAAGTTGTCAACTCCACTGCTCGCGCAAACATCCCACCCACCCACCAGCAACTTGGTTTGCAAACCCCATGCGGAAGCGATTTCGATGAGTGTTAGGTGTTGGCTGGTGCATCTCTGCGGCCGCGCTGGCCTGCGCATGCTCGCGCGCGCAGCGGCCAGCTAGTTTGGCGCGACCGACGCGACCGCGGTGGCGCTGACCGCTCGGCACATCATAGCGGGCACTTCGGTGCGAGTCGGCGACTTGGGCGGGCGCGCTATCATGGCAACGTCGACAACGGCAGACACGAGGATGATAGTAGCGATGCTGGTAACGACGTTGACAGCGACGACGGGGCAGCCAGTGACGGCGCCGATGCTGATCACGCCGACGACGATGGCGGAGTTTTCGCGTCGGAATTGAAGGTTTGGAAAGGAATTCGGAACGCGCGCGCGCGGCAGACGCGCGAGAGTGGCTCGCATGGTAATATTTGACACGGGGCGTGCCACCCCAGCGCCCGCGCAAGGGAGTTTCGACGATTTCGTGGACATGCGCGCGCGCGCGCGAAGCCCGTTGGGTAGCATTGAATGATCTGTTGAAAATCTGCGTCGCGCCCCCCCCCCACCCCCCCCCCCGTTTTTTTTTAATGTTGTTCGGGCGCTCGATTTTGACATCTTTCCGAAACACATGGTTTTTGAATGATTTTGGCATGCGCGCGCGACGACGCGCGCGTGCGCACTTCGTCTCATTGTTTGCAGGGGGCTCTTGAACATCGCCTCTGGCTGTGCCCGGCGTGGGAGGGCCCGCGGCGCGCCGCGCTTGCCGCGGCGCCACGGTCGGAGACCCTGCCGAGTGACGCCGGTGCCCTGAGGCAGCTGCTGCCCGCCGGAGTCGCGCCGACGGGGGTTCTAGCGCTGTCGGCGCTCCTCGCTGCCCTCGCGGAGGCCGCCGGGGGCGAGGGCCCGCAGCTCCCGCCCCAGGCCGAGCTGGCCCCCGAGGCGCCCCGCCGCACGGCATGGAGCGATGGAACACGCCTTCGCCCCGCTGACCCGCTGGTCGCGCGAGCGGCATGGGGCCTGCGGGCCCAGGGCTCGGCGGACCTCAATCTGGCTGGCCCAGTCGACGAGCAGCAGACGGCGCAGCGGGCCGAGGTCGCGGCCGCGGTGGCTGCGGCTCGCGTCGTCGGCGGCCCTATCGACCTCGCCTCGGACAGCCAGTGCGTTGCGCGGGCGTGCGCGCAGATCGTGGCTGGCGCCGACGCGCGGGACTGGGGGCACCCGCGGGGGCAGCTGGTGGGCGCCGCGCGCAGCGGGCGGCCCCAGGCCCGCTGGGTGCCAGCGCACAAGACGCGGGCAGAGGCGCGGCGCTTGGGTCCGAGCGAACGGGGCCGCCTCGGCAACGCGGCGGCCGACGGCAACGCTGGCGCCGCAGCTGCAGCCCGGGCCCCGCCTCCAGAGCTGGCGCGCTCGCGCCGCCGGGAGCTCGAGCTGCTGGGGGCGGCGCAGCGCGACGTTGCCGCCGCGCAGCAGGCCGCCTTTGCGGCGGCGCCGCCGGCCGCGCGCCGCCGGCGGCGCGACCGGCGTGGAATCCGCCGCGGAGCTCGGGCGCGCACCGCGTCTACCCCGGCGGCCGGCGCCCCCGCCGCCGCCCAGCTGTCTCTGGCGCCTTGCCCGCGCCAGAGTGGTGCTGACGCGCCCGTCAGCAGGGGGGGAGATGTTGGCCACGTTTTTCGCTGGCCGTTCATGGTGGCCATGCCTTGGCGCGCGGGCCTGGGCGCGTCTTCTGCCTCCGCTGCGGCGGCAGCGCGGCGTCTGCAGCAGCGATGCTGGGGGGCGCGTGCCCCGGATGGCAGGAGCGTTTGCCGGCGCGGTGCCACGCGGCCCTGCTCCTGGGCGGCTTGACCTGCGCTGGGGGCGGCCCAGCGGCGCATGCGCGCTTGGCGGCGCAGCGAATCGCGCAGCTCCCCAAGGTGCCGGACTAGGCGCCGCGGTTCCGGGCGTCCGCGGCTGCGCTCTGCGCAACATGCGCGGTTCACCCCATGTAATGCAAACTACGCGGTGTAATCTACGTGGGCCACTTCCACGGTTCGCGCAAACATCCCGCGGGCCCCGCCCGCCCACCCGCAACTTGGCTTACCATGCCCGTGCGGTGACGATTGCGATGCGTGCTCGGCGTTGGCTGGTGCATCCCTGCGGCCGCGCCAGCCCTAGCATGCGCACGCAACGGCCAGCTTGTTTGGCGCCGCCGTCGCGGCTGCGGTGGCGCTGACCGCTGGGCGCATCCCAGCGGGCACTTAACTGCGAGTCGGCGACTTGGGCGGGCGCGGTATCATGGCAACGTCGGCAACGGTAGACACGACGATGATCGTAGCGACGCTGGCGACGATGTTCTCACCGACGAAGGCGCGCCCAGCGCGGGCGCTGATCACGCCAACGACGATGACGCCGTCTTCGGCGATGGAGGTTTTGGACAGAGTTCGACATGCGCACGCGGCCGACGCGCGAGAGTGGCCCGCATGGTTCTATGCGACACGGATCGTGCCCCCCCCCAAAAAAAAAACACGCGCGCAATGGCGTGCGAATGATGTCGGCATGCGGCGCCAGAGCCCCGTGTGGCAGAATTCTTTGAAGATGATGAAAAACGCATGGTCCCCGGGGACTTCGCAAGGGCGCGACTTCTTTTGGAAATTGATGTTGCGAAATTTGGTGTTGTTTAGATGTTTTAGCATTCGATTTTGAAATCGTTGCGGAACAAGTGTTTGAAGGATTTCGGCATGCGCGCGCGACGACGCGCGCGCGCATTTCGCCCCATGTTTTGCAAAGGGTTCTTGCGACGGCACGCGCGCAACAAAAGGCATTCGACCGATTTCAACATGCGCGCGCGAAGCCCGTTTAGTAGGATGTTTTGCAAATGCTAAAAAAAAAACAAATGGTTTTATTCAGGGTTCGCAAGAGCGCTCGCGCACGCTACAACAAACAAATCCGTGCTGCGAAACCGAAGGATGTTTCACGTGTTTTGAAGGATTTCGGCATGCGCGCGCGACGACGCGCGCGTGTGCACTTCGCCCCGCTGTTTTCCAAAAAGGATTTTGAAAAACAAGGTCGATATTGGCTCGGCTGGGATGGTCGGGGTTCATATTTAGAATGGACGATGGGGCAGAATCGTATGCAAATTGCAAAGCGAAAAGGGAGGCCGACAAACCGGGGGGGGAGGATTTTTTGTTTGACAAGAAATATCTATGCGGTGTTACCTACGCAATGCAGCTTACGCGGTGCAGTATTTTTTCACACTCTTCGTGGTACACCACATGGCGGCGACGGCGGCGACGGACGGCACTTCCCGCAACAACCGCCACTCGCCCCGAGCGGGGGCGACGGCGACCGATGGCGACGGCGGCGACGGACGGCACCGCCCGCAGAAACCGCCGTTTACCCCGAGAGAATTCAGCCAAGAAAAAAAACCTAAGTGCAAGCACTGTTTGGGAAGAGATCGTATAACAAAAACAAGGAAATCGTTTTTTTGTGCTATTTTTGAATGGTCCCCCTGTAGAGGGTCCTGCCCAACTTAATGATCGGAGGGATGGGGGGGGGAGGCTCCAGCCTGTGTACGTTTTGCCCTTGGCTGGGCCTCCAGAAGCCTCCTGGGACCCCTGGGAACAGCAGAGCTGTATGGGGGCCTCGGCCGAGCCTGGCCAGGAAGGTCCCGGGCAAGTGGCCTGCCAGGCCAGAAACGATGCACACGTGTAGCTGGTGGCGGCACCCGACCTGAGCACGGTCTCCATATGTCTCTCTCGCAGATTCTGCTCAGCTGGTTCGCTCTCCTCGTCGGAAGTTCTGGTATAGCATGGACACGCATCAAGGCTCAGAGGGGGAAAAGGTACCCATTCCGCTCTCCTTCGCCCGTTTTCTCCTTTTGGGCCTCCTGGGAGGCCTTTGTCGCCACCGCTGGATTCGCCTCCAGATTCTGGTCAGAACGCTCCCCTGGAGAGGTCGGGGGAGTAGCGGTCTCAGTTTTTTTTGTTTCCTTCAGGTATAGCATGGGCACGCATCAAGGAAGTGCCAGCTTCGCTACGGCCATCTGTGGCCAGGGATTCTTGCAGTGAGAACCTCAGAGTCCCCAAGTCCTGAACCAATCGAAGTGCTTGGGTTCCATGTTCTGGGATTTGATGCGAAGGTTCACTGTGGCCCAGGTCCTGTCGTTCGCGCCTGCCGATCAACATGTGAGATGCGGAATTGGCAGTCACGAAGTCAG